GATCGAGAATGGCTGTGTTAATCAGGTCTCTGCTTGCAGCATAAATTATTATCTCTTGTGATTACATTGTAGGTTTGACAAATTACTGTTGTATACATTTTTCATTATTTGCAGGCCATTACTAGTATGGCAGGATACATATTGATTGATGGGTAACGTATGCATAGTTGGGGATTGACTGGTCCATTCAGTTTGATGATACCTACTTTACTTTACTTTATTCATAAAAATCAACATAGCAGTAGTACATGGTACAACTGAATTGTGTTGACCTAACAAAAAGTAAACACGAGTCAACTTAGCAAAAGTACATTAGAGACATCACAACACTTACATTATACACAGAGGCACTAAGCCTTCATTTGGCTGTTGTATAGACGGATTGAGTAATGTAAGAATGAATTATACAGTCTGTTTGTTCTAGCCCTGGGTACCCTGATCCCCCCCCGAGACATTCCCGTTCCTGCTGGCCTCACGTCCGGTACCAAGTCATGCAGTGGATGCTCCGGGTTTAGCATGTTTTTGAGCAGTTTAACTGCCGCCAGTTCACGACGTTCCCTAAGAGTGGGAAGGACAGGGACACTCGTCCTCCCACCAAGAGAGATTATCCTTAGGGCCCTCATCTGTACTTTCTCGATCGCCTGGTCCTGTTGTTTACTACAACCAACAAGTAGCACATGGCCATACTCAAGTACTGACCTAACCAGGGCTAAGTAAACCTGTATGAGGTCTGAGACGCTCATCCCTTGTTTAGTGAGTCTGTTTTGTTTAGGAGTCTGAGGTGATGTAGTCTCCGTGAAGCTTTGGTCACCATTGCGTTGACTTGCTCGTTGAAGGTTTAGCCTTGGTAAAGAAAGAACCCAAGACCCTTGGCTGAGCTAACAACTGGTACTGGCGCTCCCCCCAGGGTTAATGTAGGTGGCTCAGGGACACTTCTGCAGAAGCAGATTTGGAGTAGCTGACTCTTTCCGCCATTGAGAGTCATCCTGTGTTCACTGGCCCAAGAGTCGAGATTAGATGTTTCCTCTTCGACTGATCTGTCATCATCTGCCTTGAGTGCCAACAATGTCCTGGACAATGTGACGTCATCGGCGTACCCGACATTCATAGTATCCGGGTGGACAGTTCTCCTGGTGCTCATAAACAGCAGAAACAAGTATGGGGAAATGACCCCACCCTGAGGTACCCCAGATGTAAGAGTACGCCAGGAGCTCGTCTCCCCGTTTGCAACTACTCTCTGCTGTCTGTCCTTCAGGTAGTTATGAATCCATGCTGACATTCCCGAACTTAGCTGGAGGTTGATCACAGTCTGGAGGAGCAGGGCGTGGTCAACACGATCGAAAGCCTTACTCATATCCGCGAATACTGCACGGATCAAGACTGGCTTTCGGGAGTCCAACGCACTCATCCACGTGTGAACCATGCGCACCAGGGCAATTGTGGTTGACGACCCCCGCAAGTATGCATATTGGTCCTTGATAACAGCACGCAAGGTAGGTAATAGTCTTTTCAGGACACACTTTTCCAGCAATTTAGCCAGGACCGGAAGAAGAGACACTGGCCTCATGTTGCTAACCTCGGATGAACCAGCAGACTTAGGCACAGGGATGACATTGGCCGACTTCCAGATGACTGGTACTATGCCCTCACGGTATGAGGCGTTGAACACGTGAGTAACTACTGGGGCCAGGTCCTCTGCAAACTCCTTCAAAACCCAGGTGGGGAGGTTGTCTGGACCGCAAGACTTCCTGGGGTTTGTGGCTTTCAGTAGCACCTTAACTTCTCCGATGGAGCATAGGTCAGGACTTGTCCGAGTGAGTGGTAACGGGAACATGTAGAGACACTGACTCACGCACCAGGCTTCAGCAAAATGTTGACTAATCTTCTCAGCCACCTGCCCATCATCCTGCTCATGTGTGGTAACGCGTGTGCCAGATCCATGTGATCTTCCAAGTTCTTTATTGATACACGACCACCATTTGTGGGGGCTTTCACTCTTGAGATGTTGAATGTGGTTACGATAGTACCAGTTTTTTGCTTGTCTAACCACAGTTTTTGTCTTGTTTCTGAGACTCCTCCATAACGGTGACTTCCCATGCCGCTTGAACTCGGCTTGTCTGCTTTCAATAGCCCGTGGAACCCTTTTTGTCATCCAGTTCTTGTCATTTGTCTGCACAGTCTTTAACCTGACAGGGAAGTGAGAGTCTACAAGTGACATGACAGTGGAGTAGAACTTGTCGACCTTGTCCTCAACTGTTGGTGCTTCGAGCACAGCAGACCAGTCCTGCATGGCTAAGGCCACGGCAAAGTCTCTCTTCACGGAGTATTTGATCACTCGACGGGGGAGTTTAACAGATGACTGCTTTGCTACCTGAGCTCCAGACTGGAGTATGACACAGGCATGGTCACTGTTCCCAATAGGAGGTATAATCCGCGGTGAGGAGTAGTGTTGCGCAAGGTTAGTAATAATAATGTCCAGGGTAGCTGAGCCCCTCGTAGGCTGCTTGACTATCTGCTTCAGTTCAGGATGGGCCGCCAATAACGGTCGCAGAGGGAGGCTATTGAAGTCCCCGCAAAGCAGAAGCCCAGCTTGGGGTTGATGACTGCAAATATGATCGATTGTGGTGATGAGGTGGTCGGTTATCTCTTTAATCCCTTCTTTGTTGTTTCTGTTTGGTGGATGATACACTACCCCAAGAATAATCACAGGGACAGTTCTGGGAAGCCAATGTGGACGCAGTTGGACCCACATCACCTCAAGCTCCTTGTTTTCCAGGTCAAAGAGTCTACGAGTAGGGATGACATCTACAATGAAAGAAGCCAATCCACCACCCCCCCCTCTGTCCTTGCCTATCCCTCCTAAACATATGGTAGCCAGACATGGACATAACATTATCAGGGATGTCATCGGTAGCCCAAGTTTCCGTAATACAAGCTATTTGAACAGAGTAATTCTCTAGACTGGCTTCTAATTCAAACTTCTTATTCATAAAGGATCTAATATTTGTCAACATTAATGTAGGTAACAGTTTGCATATCACATTTGTGTTGTTGCCCTGTGCTGTACATACAGTAGCTACTGGTCTAAGTACCCTGTCCTTTTTTAGCTCTCTTTTACTGCCGTTACCATTCCCGACAATTGTTTTGATCCGGCAAAGCTTTTCTTTTTATCCCTCCCCGACTACCCCTACGATTCCACTTGGTTCGGTCGATATTTCCAAAAGGTCTAACACGGGCTGGGAAACACATTTTGACATACCAACGATTGAGTTATCCCATGAACTATATTTGCTTGAGTATTGATGTTCTATGTTCCCATCATAATGATTGTTTATTATCAGCAACATATTGAGTGATGGGTAGTGTATGCATAGTTGAGGGGTGTATGATCTCATGGATTGAGTTATCATTATTATCGCAGTAAGATAATTTGATGATTAGACCTCTTGACTTGTAAATGTTTGCAAGAATTGCTCTTTAATGATTTATGTTTGGCTGTCTTGTGGCTGTTGCTGTGGCCGTAGCCGTAGCTGTCGCTGTAGCTATGGGTGGTGTTTCATCGCTGGTGGTGCCCGTGGCGTCCCAGCCATAAACTGACTTTGTTAATGAGTATTGGTGTTTTATGATTATTGCCATCACAACGATTATGATTATTATCACCATTGATGGATATTATTGGTAACATTGGTTCATATATGTTTATGAAGGCTTATCATTGTAGACCATTTGAATGTTACGGTATATTGTCAGGCATTTACATAATGAATATGTAGTGTTACACGAGTGAAAGAAAGACAGGCACACGACACAAAGAAGGTTTTATTTGTATGTTGTTTGCTATATCATGACCCCTACACGGGTATGAATAGGCAAGTAGAGTATGTAGAAGATTTTATTTGTACGTACCCTGACCCGTAGAACGATAACGATAATAGGAAAATGAACAGGCATACACGTGGGTGTAGTACATACTGTATATTTTTTATTCACCACGTGGCACCGCTGTTGTAGCGGGGTGGTGGTGATGTCGATGGCGAGCGTGGTGTGTACTCGTAGGCCGGTGGGCTGTCTGTTGTGGCCCTGGTGGAGCTGGGTGATGGTGGCGGTGAACTTGAGATGTCGATAAGTTCTGGTGGTGGTGGCGGTTCGACGTACACCTCCACCACGCTGGCGCTGTCCTCAGACGCCGATTCCGACTTATAAAATGTCCTTTCTCTCAGAGTTTCGGCGTAGTGTTGTACTGTTCATGATGTAAAAGATACGACATTTAAACAACTACCACTGTGTTTACAATGTGATTCTTACACGTGATAACTGTATTAGGTACTAGGCATAGGTATTAGATATACATGAGGGTAATGAATAGAAACTTACGTCTGTTTAGGACGAGAGCAGTCCTAATGAGCTGGCGATGCCAATCGTCCACCAACCTGTCTACGCACTGGAATTCTAGTAAGGGTAAGATGATATACTGATAAGTTAGAGACAGGTAAGACGGATGTGTGGAAACATGGTCTTATTTATAAATACGTAACAATATACGAAAGTAGGGTTTGAAATTCCTGACATGGTCAGACGTTCGGAAACATGGTCTATAACACGTAACGATATATACACGAAAAAAAATTGTATGAATTTGTCCAACATAAAACATTTCCAAGTAGATGTATAGTTAACTTTGAATGAGTCTTTGGAAGAAAATGGTATGATGACATGTTCACGTAGTAGTCCAACATGAAAAACAAGTGTAAGAACGAACGAGTAAATGTACAGTTAACCGTAGCTGTTCGTTCTTGAAGTTGAATACACAGGACTGTAGCGCGTAGGGGGGAAAAGAATTGTCTGTAAACCAAGTAGAGACTTACCGTCCATAGTTGTGGTGTCCGAAAGCTGCTGCATGTTAACTCCGATCCATACAAAAGGATATACATAGGTTTTACAAATCGGTTAGGTCGATTAGTGAAGGTGGTGGTGGAATTTCTAGTTCCACCACACTTCCCTCACTCGCTGTCGTCTACAGCTCGACCCTCGTCCTGGTATTGAGGGCTCCCCACCTGTTGTTCATACTCCCACGTCAGGTCAGCGGGGTTGTGGTGGGGGTGGTGGTTGCGCACGTGGTGTTGGGGGCCCGCCGCCTGTTGTTGATGGTGCCACGTCAGGTCAGCGGGGTTGTGGTGGGGGTGGTGGTTGCGCACGTGGTGTTGGGGGCTCCCACCTGTTGTTGATGGTCCCACGTCAGGTCAGAGGGGTTGTGGTGGGGGTGGTGGTTGCGCACGTGGCGGTTGGGGTGGTGGGGGCCCGCCGCCTGTTGTTGATGGTCCCAAACCATGTCCTCGGGGTTGTGGTGGGGGTGAGGTCCGCGGTGTTGTGGTCCGCCTGGCGTTCGTGTTCTACGGCTCCAGTGTAATTACCAACTGCTGCGTGAACTGTAAGGTGACGATAAAAGACTCGTTATCAAAACAAGTAAAATGCGTCTATTATACGCTTCTTACGAGTGACAAGTTGGATGTAGTTAATGAAAGGCAGAGACAATTGATGTACATGTGTGTAGATAGTGGACTTACGCAATTAATCATCGCTGTCCTCAGCAGCAGACTGTGTAGGTCATCCAATGCGTCCTGGGACTTTTGGTGACGGACGAGAGAGCGGTTTTGGGCGAAGACTTTGCCACACCATTCGCAAGAAAATGCCAGGCTTGTTTTATGTTATTGACGATATCGTTGGACTCTGCAACAACAAACAATATACACACTCTGTTACACGCGGTACATCTACACCACGTTTTTAACCCTTAAACTTTTACTGTATAACAATGAGCAACAAACGGGGCCGGGTAGGCTTTTGTAGACGTTCAACAAAAGAGCCTCCAGTCAACCACTCAACAAAGAAAGGCTGTCCATTCAAACATAACGACAACACGGCACACAAAAGACTTGTAGTATCTGGACGAACAAAAGGATTAAGCCCAGGAGGACAAATGCGGGGGAAATTTTTTACTTTTACGTAGCTATACAACACACACACACACACCAAAATAGACGTTATAGCGTTTTGTGGAACCTAATGGTTTTGTACCGTGTAGACTTGGTTGAAAGGTTTTCAATACAAACGCAACAGATGTACAAAAAAGGTTCGTAATGTTCACCCGCATTCACACAAGTTGTGACATTGAAAAAACAATGTCCACAAAACTGAATCTACCTCATGGACACGGTCTGTACTACAATGTCTTGCTTTACGTACAATGCTACAAAGATTTCAAACAATAAAGGGAGATAATTCACAGCTTACCGGTAGTAAGAAGAAAGTAGTCGGCTGCGTTGATCGATGCGACGGCTGTTTACGGAATGGGTCTTCCTTGTTTCCCAAGCCGAATTCTGGCGTTTTTATATAGCAAATTTTGGCGCCATCCTACCCTTTGTCTCGAGGATCGTCTAATCTCGTCAAAACACGTCATATCTTGCCTCCAGTCGCAACCAATCAACAGCAGGTCACGTTACCTACTTTTCAATTCAACAAATCAACAACAGGTCACGCGTTACCTACGTTTCAATTAAACCAATCAACTACTACAGATGACGTTGACACATATGTGCTGACGTTAGCAAAGGTTCTCTCTAGACGGCAGATGGTCTCACCATGTGGCACTGTCCATTCCGTTGTTATGTAGAACACATGATTGCGAACCTAACGATAACATGGATAACGACAGATGTGCCATTGATGCAGGTTTGTGAGCAGTTTCTCTGGGTGGGTGGGTGGGTGAAAACAAATGCCTAGGAATGCCTTCTCTTCTTACAGAATTTCCCCCTCCACTCTCCTGCCTCAACTGCTGGGTCGGTCCCACCTTGCTTCTTCGGGGTTGCGGATGTCTCCGAATGAAAGGACAGAATGGAGTGCGCGCGCGCCTTATAAGGGGTTGGTGTGTGACGTCATTTCGGATGACCAATCACTATGCAGTGAAGATAGGTTACTATCCACACTGCACAGTCATTGGATCATCCTGCATGAGTTATGGGGCAGTGCCTACGTCGCGCCATCATTTGCGTGTGTCCCCGTAGTTAGCGTAGGGGGTTCCCCTTTACGCTAACTCCTGGAGGCGCGCCTTTCTTCCTTACTAAACCAAGCTTTCGCTAGAAAGCCTACCCCTTACTTCATCCCAATACTTTCAACTGAAAGTATACCCCACACTCATTATCCGCAAACTTCGTTTGGGGATATATCCCCTCTCTCACCTCCCCCCACTCCTATTCCACGTTATTCCGGCTCTTATAAGAGTGGCTGTTTGCTGCTAATATTGACGAGCCCATGGCAGAAAGAAGAGACAGAGGCAGATATGTAGAAAACAAAAGAATGTTTATTCAGTCAAGCGTTCCTTCTCAATTACTTGCCCAATCTTGAGGTGTCCCTAACATATAACCACCGGGATGGAAAACAAGTCGTCATTCGTCGGCTGACGGGCTCGCTTGTCCCTTTGCCTACCCTAACCGACGCCCTCTTTATGCGGGGGTCGCTCTAGAAGGCTTCCTTTATTCCCACTAGCTCGTTATTTCTTTCATACATTTTTACGGCCTGCTTCACCTCCTTCGTTGCTAGTCTCGATGCTGCCCCCCCAGGCTTCATTACCCTACCCAATTTCATGTAGTGGGCTGCCGTCCGTTTTGTGTACCACCCCACATGGTCCATTACTTCTTGCTCAGATGCTCCCGCCATGTGGAGAGCGATCGCGCAACCTGCCCTGCAGCCATGAAGTGTTTCTCCTTGATCGATGCCTAACTTCTGCAGATGTCTATGGAAGGAGTTGTTTATTGTTGCCGTAGAGGGCTGCTCCGGTAACACCGAGCCATCCCTAGCGGTGGCTCGAAAGAGATAACCACCCTCCAAGTCTATGGATAGGTATTTAGCAATTGCCACATACCAGTCGATTGCCTCTACCGGGCACGTGGAGTCATCACCCGTCTTCTCTAGAACAAAAACATTGGACCTTCCATCTCGCAAGGTTTTCCCCCACACATGGTTCATGACCAGTGCCCCTGACGGCAACCTTGACACCTCTGCTGTTCTAGTCCTCAAGAGGTCAGCCATCCGGTCACCTGAGAAAAACGCCGCTTTGAAGATGGCTTGATCCCTGGCCATAGTGAACATCCTTGCCGCCGATTTTTCGGAAGTTATCTTCTCTGAGATGGCTTCGCAAACCTGTACTATTTTGTCAAGGAATACCGGCTTTGCCTGTTGCGGGGTTGAGCCCTGTCTCAACTGCTCCGCTGTCACTGACGCTAGGTATTGCTTGACCATTTTCCCCCCTGCTGGGTTTCCCACTCCCAATCGTTCGTCCCATTCGCCCCCTCTACCCATGTCATTGAAAATTGCTCTAAGCTTGCCCACATATGTGTCTACCGTCTTGAACGCTAGCCTACACGGGCATTTACACTCCTCCTTGCCAGCCCCACACCCTGTCTCGTGGACTTTCGTCTTCCCTTTCTGGTCTTTCCAGATAAGGAACTTGACAATGTCCACCGGAGCTGCCGTGTCTAGGGTCTTAGGTGGGGTTAAGGTTTTAAGGAAGTCCTTTAACAAATCGCTTAAAGCCGCCTTTTGCTTACTATAGGCGGAGTCCTTTTGTTCTCCCAAAAGTTGCTGCAACCTGCTATCGATAGCGGCATGATCCACGTGCGCACCCCTAAGCGTTGACACCTGGGTCTCCTGAACTTTTGGCATTCCACATCGCTGGCAGAAATTGAAATCGAAGTCGTTGGGGTAACCACACCCTACACATTTTACCGCCGGGAGCCATAACCTCGGGACCCCGATAAACCCCGAACCACGAGGGGTGCCAGCGAATTTCTCACCTTGGCTATTGTAGGGGCAAATTGTTGGCTGGGGTTGGAGGTCTTCAACCTCCCCTGTTTGGGGGTTGAGCGTCATTTCTATTGAGCGTTCCCTTGGAGTTTCTGCGACGGCCTGAAACGCAAATGAACGGACCGGTTAACATACGCATTCTGCTAACTCCTTCACTTGCTGGTCTAGTTAGTTGTCTGAGTTAGCCCTTACATTTCCGTCTTATCGGTCTCCGCAAAGAGAATAGCCCATAGGTCGTGTTCCGTTGGCCTTACTTGCCAACCGCCTCTTCTCCTCGGTGAATATAGTACTGGCTGACCCGCACATGCTACCTTCACTTTTTGCACGGCCTTTTTCTCCACAATTGGCCACCAGTAACTCTTGGGGAACTTGTCAGGAACCACCACTACCACCCTCGCCTTCTGTTGTATCACCAAGTTTACTAGGGCTCCGATAAGGCTGAAGGGGGGGAACGCGTAACAGTTTCGACCCGTCAGGTCCTGTGCGAATACATTGACCCCTTCAGAGTACGGAGTTGGGTACGGACTGAAGAAACGTAGTTTCTTCCCGTCCCTCGCTGACTGCACGTTAGACGGTAACGCCATGAGGTCAGTGTCAAAACCGGAGTCTCCTCCTAACTCGGCATCGATCCGTTGGAAGACCTTTCTATGCAGCATCACATCCGACGCCTTGATAAGGCGCGACGGGGCATCCGCTTCATTGTCCCTGGACGGAGTGAAAACTAACTTCAAGTCGACGTTTAGGCTAACCACCGTCTCCCACAGTCTGCGCACCGCCCTTGACAGTTGGATGCTTTTCCCCCCTTGGTTGTTCCAGGCAGAGATTACATTTGTGTTGTCCACAAGGGCGTCTACCCTCTTATTGCGCACCCGCTCTTCCGTGGACAAGAGTACCTGCCTGAGGGCTTCAGCCTTTTTAACCGCTATGATATCTTCCTGTTCTTGCCCTGTCCAGTAATCTCCGAACTGCACCCTGCCTTCCTCCGTTGCAACCGAACCACCCCATCTGAACCCTGAAGCGTCCGAATATAACTCTATAGACTCATGCTTTTCCGTCCTCCAAGGGACGTGCCCTTCCCACTGGTCTAAGAACCTCCAGTATTGTATCTCTTCTCTTACGCTACCCTTGATCCTGACCTCTGTGCCTGTTTTGCCTGCCAACCTGATAGCGTTAAACATCTCCCTACAATATAATCTCGCCGCCGGCACGGCTAGCCCAAAGGAGACCAGTTTTCCCGTCAATTTTTGCAACTTTACAATGGGTACGCTTTGCTCATTCAACACTCCCTCTCGCAGGGTGGCGAACGAAACCTTCTTCCTTTCTGGTAGCCTGAAGGCCAAGCGGACCGAATCTGCCTCCATACCCAGAAACTCTAGGCACTGCACCGGGTCCAGTTGTGATTTGGATATTCCTAAGAAGTATCCTAAGGCTACCACGACGCTACACATGATGAAACATGCTGCCTGTGCGGCCTCATAGCCTGCCTCCTCTCTTTTCCTCTGCTTTTGTCCCGCGATTTGCAGCTGGCCTGCGTGCCTATCGTCAATATACAAAGACGATGGGACCCCAAGCTCCCTTATTCTGTGCATAGCCGAGGCCTTTACCTTCCCGGCCGCAACTGACTCGATTGAGGGAGGGACAATCATTTTACCGTCCCTTTTCCTCGTTATCCACGCTGTGGACGACTTCAAATGCTTCTGGTACGCCAAATATGGGTCGAAGTTGACGCGCCGTTGAAAATCCCGGATGTCCGGCTTGATCCAAGATGCTTCCTGAAATCAAAGACAAGAGCGCCTGCTTTAGTCGAAGCCTATTAACCCCTATGCACGGTGAACCTTGGTCGATACGGCCGCCATGCGGAAGCCCTCAGGAATGCAGACCTAGGCTAAGGACTCCTCTACTCCCCCGAACTACAGCCCCGCCCTTAAGGCGTCGCCAAATACAAGCACGAATTAACCCCTTCTGGAAAGAAGAAACCTCCTAGAATCAGCCGCCGCAGGCTGTCCTGTTACCAGTATCGATTCCCATGCCTCCAGGTAATAACCACCCGCATAGTGAGTCGACACGGCTACATGTATCTCTTTCCTTGAATTCACTTTCACTACCCCGTAAACCTCGGGCTCCTGTATTGCTCACCCCTATGAGTTGCATATGCCGCGCCCCCTGTCGGCCTTGGCGTATGGCACTGCGAAACCTCATTGGTCTACGCCCCCTGGCGACGTCGCTGCACGGCCCCAAGCGGTGTTTGCACTACGCCTCCTGGCGACTTACTGTATGGCACTCTTAGTTGCTTGTGCTACGCCCCCTGGCGGCTTACTGTATGTCACTCTTAGTTGCTTGTGATACGCCCCCTGACGACTTACTGTATGGCACTCTTAGTTGCTTGTGCTACGCCCCCTGGCGACTTACTGTATGTCACTCTTAGTTGCTTGTGATACGCCCCCTGGCGGCTTACTGTATGTCACTCTTGGTTGCTTGCGCTACGCCCCCTGGCGACTTACTGTATGGCACTTTGGGCTGTTTGTGATACGCCCCCTGGCGACTTACTGTATGGCACTTTGGGCTGTTTGTGATACGCCCCCTGGCGACTTACTACGAGGCACTCTAAGTTGTAGTGATACGCCCCCTGCCGGCTAGCTGTAATGAGGCTGGGAAGGTCTCATTAACTAACTCAACCACTTTGGACCCTCCAGCCAGGAAATGGGGTCAGGAAAGTTGTCTTACTACCAAGTAATCTTTTGTTCAACGCCAACCTAGCGTGATTACCACTATATGCGGTTCGAATAAAATACGTAAACATCAGTAAGGCTATTTAGACTGCGCAAAACACATTGCAAGACAAGAAAGAGTACTTTTCTCACTGCTTAATTATTGGATCAATCCGCCAATGACGTCATCACACCCCATATAAGGGGCTGATAGCCCATTCACTCTGTGCATTTACTGGAAACATCCCCCCGGGCCGGTTGGAGTTGCAGCGTCGTGGAGGTCTACCGCCCGACCAGCACGACAGCGTTGCGACAAGGAAGGAAGCACGGAGCGGAGACCGGAGTGCCTGGGGGAGAACTGCAAGGATTCTCGCTGACCAGTTTGGTCAAGGTTTGGCTAGTGTAGACGGTAGTGAGAGTCCAGGATTTTCGGCGTGTTTTTTGTGGCGCCACGGTTAGTGGGTAGGGCAGGCGCGCCTTCTTTAGTGAGTTCGGTTTTCTTAGAGGGAGAGTTTAGTTTTGGCTGTCAGTGTGTTGTTTTTTGTTTTCTTTTTCGCACCTCAAGCTTAGTAGGGGTTTTGGGGTGTAGAATTTTGCGGGTTTTTTGGATGCGTGAGTTTTCGTGTTGGAATTTTCCGTTAGCGGGCGGTACACGTGGTCCTCCACACCTGGGTCATTTGCATTTGAACGGTGGAGGCATTTTTCTTTTGTCTGCTAGTTTTGGGGTGGTGATTGTTTTAGCAGGGATTGGATACCTGAGTGGGGTCTCAGGCCTTGCTGGTTCGCCGCTTGGTCCTTTGGCTGTACGGGGCACCTCTTCCCGCTATGGTGGGGACTCCCTCGGGTGGGTAGTGTAAGTTTTGCAGTGGGATTGGCGTCTTTTATGAATTGACATTGTTTGCACATGTAGATATGACGCCACGAGCACCAAGACTACCTACCGCGGGAGTGCAGGATGCCGGGCAGCAGGGAGTGAGACCGGCGGCTCCTCAACAGCAGGGTATCCGTCCTCCAGCCCCGTACTCAGCAGTGTGCGACAACCGCAGCAGCAGTTTCCGCCGCCGCCAGTGATAAATTTACGGCAGTAGTTTTAAGTGGTATCCGCAGGATCTTGGCGGGTTTTTTCCATGTGGGGTTTCACACGTGGGCATTTGCATTTGAAGGGTCTAAGGAATCCGTGTAATTTTGTTGTTTTGTAGGGTGGTTTAGATTGTTTTGGTGTGAGCTCCCTCGGGCGGGCATTTTAAGTAATTTGCGGTACGCTTCAGGTCTGAAGTTTTGTTTTGTTCTGTGCCTATTCAGTGATAGTGACTACAAAACTACCCACCGAGGAAATGCAGAAGTAGACACCAGACGATAGGTGGACAACGACGACATGAACCGCAACTAACAACGACGCAGTTCCCGCCTCTACAGCGAGCTCCTCTACCGCAACAACATCAGCAGGACATTCGGCACCTAGCTCTACAACATCTGCAGAGCGCACAGCAACCGGCTCTACAGCACTAGCAGACAACCGGCTCCGCGACATCGGCAGAGCGGAAGGCAGCCGGGAGTTTTATGTTTGTTTCGTATTTTTCAGTATCTCCGACAGAGCGCTGTGCCGGCATTTCGTCTTCGCGGACACCTTTGGCAGGACGACCAGCACTTCAGCATTTACGTCGTGCATGTCGTGTTCGTCACTGTTCTCACTAAGGTGTTCTTTGGTACACTTCGGTGGGAGCAGTGAGCGGTAGACACGCATGGAGGGCGGTGTGATCTTTTCGTCGTCATGTTGTGTTCGTCACTGTTCTCTCTGAGGTGTTCTTTGGTACACTTCGGTGGGAGCAGTGAGCGGTAAGCACACATGGCGGGCGGTGTGATCTTTTCGTCGTCATGTTGTGTTCGTCACTGTTCTCTCTGAGGTGTTCTTTGGTACACTTCGGCGGGAGCAGTGAGCGGTAGACACGCATGGCGGGCGGTGTGATCTTTTCGTCGTGCATGTTGTGTTCGTCACTGTCCCTGCTTGAGTGTTCTTTGGTACACTCGGGTAGGGGCAGTCGAGCGGTAACACACATGGCGAGCGGTGTGATATTTCGTCGTGCATGTTGTGTTCGTCACTGTCCCTGCTGGAGTGTTTTTTGGTACACTCGGGTAGGGCAGTCGAGCGGTAACACACATGACGAGCGGTGTGTATCTTGTCGTCGTGCTATGTTGTGTTCGTCGCCGTCCTGCTTGAGTGGTTCTTTGGCCCGGTTTGGGCGTTCACTCAGGTGAGGATGGTCGAGCGGTGACACACATGGCAAGCGGTGTAATTTTTAAGTCGTATATGTGGTGTTTGTCACTGTCCCTGTTTGAGGGGTCTCTGACACGGATTGGTGCGTACATTCACGAATGGACAGTAAAGTGATAACACGCTTGACGAGCGTTACGTTGTGGTCTTTACGTCGTGCATGTGGCGTGTCACTGTCCCTGTTTGAGTGGTCTTTGGCGCGGCTTGGTGCGTATATTCATGAAGGGACGGTCAAGTAGTAACACGCATGACGAGCGTTACGTTGTAGTCTTTACGTCGTGCTCGCGGTTTTATCACTGTCCCTGTCTGAGTGGTCTCTGGCACGGTGTTGGGCGTACACTCGTGGGCGAACAGTCAAGGGATAACACACATAGACTTACGTCGTGCATGGGATATTCGGCGTTGTGCCTACACGAGTGGGCTTTGGCACGTTTCTTGGGTGTACACACACGGGTGGTGGATACGACAAGCGTCAACACGACGAGCGGTGGGACTTATACGTTTGGCACGCTGGGTGCATCGTTGTCCCCGGGTTAGGATCCTTGGCAGCGGTTATGCAAACGCTGGATAAGCGGTCGATGAGCGGCAGCACACAAAGAGCAGTGAAGGTCCCACCTCGTACATGATATGCGCAGTGTAGTGGTCTGAGAACACTGGCTGGCAGAACAGTAGCACGCAAGATGACAGGTATGGTGTGACATTGGACATGTTGTGGTCCTCGAGGTTATTGATGAAGTGGTACCGGTCTTTCGCACGTTTCGGGTGGACACTTGTTCATTTAGGGCTGGTGAGCGGCAACGCTTATGACGAGTGGTGTAAGTGTCATCGTTGCGCACGTTTTCGCCGTTGCCTTTTAGGTTTTCTTCGGCTCGTTTGCTTGAACAGTACGGGTGGTTACTGGGCAGTCGGGCAGCAACGCATGGCGAATGTTACAGAAGTTACGTCAGGACGTCATGCTTGACGTGGCCCTTGGTCAATTATCTGATCACATGAATGCCGACCACTCGCGGATGTTTGGGGCGAGAGACAGAACGAGAGACGCAGGTGTTACAACGGACACCTTATGGCAGTCGAGTTTTACTCGTGCGTCCGGCACAACTTGTTGACGGTGGACAGTTGGGCGATAATACACATGTGGAGTATTATAAGAGCCAAGTCGTGCAACGAGGTCCTCCTCAGAGTGATAGGTAGCACCTAGAAAGGCAC